TACATATATAAAAAAAAATGAAATCATCATCAATCTGTATTTTGAAAATCAGAATTTGAGACATCTTAATGTGTATCACTGTTTCCCTAACACAGGCTAGACGGGAAGTAGTTGAAAGGAAACATATCCATGCAAAGGATTTCCATCAAGGACAGTAAGAGAAGAAATGCTTCCTTGAAAAGACTGGAGATTCCCTGGAAATAAAAAAGAGCACATGAGTATGGTATGAAACATTTTAAATCTTTAATTTCCTTCAAGAAAAAGGACTAGAAAGTTAAGGAGAAGTGGCTATTGTTGACCTTTTTTCCCTAAGGTAAGCCAATATTACATTTTCATGTCCTCAGTTTACGGAGTTTGAGAAAGAAATGCCAAACGTCACCTATCTGTAATAGTCATGACTTGGCATTTCTATCAGTTCTTGAAGTTGCATATACAAAATAATGTGTATAATATGCATCAATTGTTCACTGGGGAAATAAGCCATTTTCCCTGGAATGTATTCAAAGTTCAGTGTATCCAGGTGCTCTTTTGTAAATAACACCACTCTGGGTCTGGTTTTACTTAGAAGGGGGGGATGAAGATCAGTACTTTAAATTGTTCATATGAAAATAAGGATTGTAATTCCTACCATCTTATTTCTGTGAGTCTTTCTGTCAGGTTGGTAGGACTTATTTGCTGACCGCAACTCACAACCTCTTGGCTTTATGGGCTTCTGACATATGCCTGGAGAAGTAAGGTGGAATTAACTATATCAGCTCTTAAAAAGCTTTATTCTGAGCATGGAAAAGTTCTCCTCAGGTTGCACTCCTCCAGAACACAACATGCATTGCCAAAACTGCAGTTTTCTGTAATGAGACATAGGATGAAGCTTCAACAACATGCAAGCATGTTACAGTTGCATATGGTGCAAGTGTTGTATTTATTCCTGTTCGCTGCTGTGTTTATACAGAATTATTTATTTCCTTTACATTTATTTAAAAAAAAACCAAATCTCAGTATTTCTCAGGGTTTTAGTTTCCAGTATTCCCCATGTCTCCCACAACATGCTCTTTTGAAAATACGATTTTGTTGTGTTCCTCTATCAAACCGAAGCCTATAATCTGCAATGTGAATTGGCCAGGCGCCACATACGGCAGATGGACTTGAGCGTGTTTCTGCCAAGGAGCTAGCATGTGCACCAAGCTCTGTGCGTGTGGCATCCATTTCCTAACCAGAATGTCAAAACAGCTGTCTGTGGAGGACTCCTGCATCTGTACTAACAGGATCTGCCAGAAGTCCTGTAATTTGGAGCGTGGTTTCTATCTGAATAGTTCAAACAGTTTTAATGTGCCCAAACCTGGAGCAATGGTCTCTGAGCACTGTGTGATTTACACCAGTTTACAGGAGAATAATCCCGCAGGATGGTGAGGGTTTGTGTCTGATGCACATCCATTTAGCTGTGTTTACAAAGGTGCTAAAGAAGCGAGGAGAGGGGGAGTTGGAGCTGGTTTGGTAACTACTTTAAAACAGGTTTAGAAGTTTCTGGCACGGGCAAATGGTACTGGAACGTAAAAAGCCATTTGGATGAGTGGCAAGTTCCAGAAGATTTCAAGGGAAACAGGTGCAGCCATAGCTGGTCTGAAAAGAAGGTGCATCAGCAGCAACAGGCAGGTCCTGAGTGAGACAAAGCAGATTATTCCTATTGGAACAAGTTCAGAGAAGGGCCACGAGGATGATCAGGGACTGGAGCACCTCCTGTATGAAGACAGGCTGAGGAAGTTGGGGCTGTTCAGCCTGGAGAAGAGAAGGCTGCGTGGAGACCTCAGAGCAGCCTTCCAGTGTCTGAAGGGGGGCTATAGGGATGCTGGGGAGGGACTCTTCATTAGGGACTGTAGTGACAGGACAAGGGGTAACGGGTTAAAACTGAAACAGGGGAAGTTTAGATTGGATATAAGAAGGAAATTCTTTCCTGTTAGGGTGGTGAGGCACTGGAATGGGTTGCCCAGGGAGGCTGTGAATGCTCCATCCCTGGCAGTGTTCAAGGCCAGGTTGGACGAGGCCTTGGGTGCCATGGTTTAGTGTGAGGTGTCCCTGCCCATGGCAGGGGGTTGGAACTTGATGATCTTAAGGTCCTTTCCAACCCTAACTATTCTATGATTCTATGATTCTGAGCCTGGTGGGAAGCAGCTTCTTCAGTCACGTTCCCTGCAATTTTATCTAAGCTAGCATGCTTTCCTGCTTGGCCTTTGCCTCATTCATAGGTTGTTGGTTTGAACAGTTGCCCTGATTTTTGTCTTTCATAGGGCATGTTTCTTAATGAATAAACAAAAGTCGAATAACTCATTCTAAAGAATACTTTTATTCCTCTGTTTTATTAATCTAACACTGCCTTTCTGACCTTTTGTTTCTCTTACAAATAATCACTTCCATTTTCTCAGACATTATGAAATGGCTGTAATAAGGGTATAGCACTTGCCCTTTGGAAGAGACAAGAAACCAGCCATTTCTGTCTGTAGCTACATCTTGCCAGTGAAGCTAGAAATGTCTTGGAACCTTTTCCCCAATAAAAGTTGAAATAATTGCTCTATTCTGTGTGGTTTTCTCCCTTGTTGTTCTAGTGCTCTTAGTCTCAAAGACCAAATGGCATTTAGAGTGATGAATGTTTTGTTTCCTGTTTCCTTCCCTAAAATACATGACAGTTATGTCTACTAGGCGTTTCTGAAATGACCAAAAATGTACTTTTGTGATCAGTTTTGTGCTCATTTTAAATGGTCCTTCTTGGGATATGTAGCAGATTATCAGATCACATGATTTTATTTCTCTGTTATGGTACTCAATCCTGTAGACTGGAAAACTGGGATTAATATTTTGTGGTACAATTGACTAACTATTGAGAGCCATGCAATCATGTTCTGTTGCATAGTTTATCTCACAGCAGTACCGTGGACTCTTGAGCACCCTTCCACTAAATGTCAAACATGTCCTTGTAGCACATCTTTATGTTTAAGAGATGTCAGTGGTCACTACGGTCCAAAGAGTGTGGCTTGGTTCATACTGTTTATTTCTACTCCCCTCTTATGTTGAAGTTTCAGATTCTTAGGTGTTGCTTTTCCTTCTTACTTTGCTTATGTTTCCTGTCTCTCCAAATCTCCTGTCCTGGCTTTGAGTTCAGATAGATGTCGGGTGACCATTAAATTGGCTTGTATTAAAGTGAGGGCTATCAAAATGCATTGAAGCTACATCAATCTGTTGAAGCTAATACAAACCACTTGTAGAAAAACCAAGTAACCTGAGGGTGCTATTAATTTTAGATTAAGAATGCATCAAGGAATGAAGGCTAATCCATTAAACTAGAATTCTTTTGCTGTGATTCCAATGTAAATAAATGTCAGAAAAGTAAAGATATTAGCAGTAGCTAAGCAGTCTCACCAAGACCAAGCCGAGGCTTGAATGATGTCCTCCTTGGTTTTGTGGGTTTGTCATTGTTTTCTTCTTCCTCATACAAAATTAATCAGTAACACTGGAAATAATCCAGCTCTAGATCAAAACAAAACAAGTCCTTTTGAGACTCCCCTGATGTCTACATATAATCTGTACAAAACCACAGAACCAGGTAATTATGTGCAAGAAGCAAGCACTAGAAAGTGTAGTAAGAAAAGAAGAATTTACTTTTTTCCTTTTCCAACAGTTCTTTTAACTATTGGTGCTTTCTAGAACAACAGATCAGTGCTATAGGGAAGAGTGGGACTTTTCAGTCAGAAATATCCTTTAGCTTTTTGCAATTTATTATGCATTGCTTTTAACTATTAGCATATATGACATACAAAGAGCTGTCCCTGTGTGCCTCTGCCTTCATCTCTGAAGGTAAGAGGCACTCACCTGCTATGGGAATCTGCAACCACAGATCCCAAGCTTCAAAAGAACAGCTCCCGCTGCCCCCTTTTTTTATGGAGAGATGTTTTTGTAAGGAAGTCCTTATTCTGAATATTATTTTTTCTTTTATCAGAGTGTTTCTAGCAGTTTCCGTTCCAATGCTTCAGCATATGCAGGCATAGCTGGGATGAGGCTCCAAACAGCCAGTGCCTTTGACCAGGCACAAAGGAAGCAGTTTCCTTGGCAACCACAACCCCAGAAAGGTCCCAAAACGGCACTTCCACCTGCCTGAGATTTCGTTTTAATTTAGGAGTTTGCACATCGGCTTTGCATGGAGAATTGGGTTCTTGGGGCTTTATTCATAACATAAGTTGCTTACAGGAATCATGTACTTTTTGCATATGAATTTATACCTTGGAGTGACTAGCTTACTGGAAAGACTGTTGATTTATGTAGTGACAGCGGATGCTGCAGTAGCACGTGGTGGGATTCAGAAACGACAATACAACACATGCTACAAAGATTAAAACACTGCATGGAGTTAAAAAAGAACTGTCTAGAGAAGAAATAGTTTGCTCCTATGTCTATGTTAGAAATTATGAGATCAGGGAAACTGCCAAACATGCATATGTCTTTGGGTTTTACTAGATTTGTTAACTTTAAGGGGGAAACAGCCAAAGAGAAGGGCATTAAATAAGGAAACACTAAAACTCAATCCTCACTGCTGAGGGATGGGTATCTTCATACAGAAAAGTTCACACCTGCTTCTGGGGTCACTTGGGTCAGCTCCTGGCTGTTTTTAGACAGTTGATGTGAGATCATTGTGGATTTAGCAGAGCTTGGCTTTATTTACCCCATGTAGGTTGGGGTGCCCCATGGCTGCATCTTGCCTGGGGCCAGCCTGCCCCCAGTGTCTGTGAGGTGTTTCTCCAGAGCATGTCTTTAACAGCCATGTAACTTCAATACTCAGATGCAGTTTAAAGCCCAAATATGTTTGGCTTCCAAATATCATCAAAAATTGCATGTGAAAGGCACTGAGCCTGTGCTTTGCACCAAGGGCGCTGTGCAAATGCAGGGTTGTCTCCTTAAGAAGAAATAGCTGTGCCATGCAGGTGACACCAATTGCCCCCTGGCCAGACCCTGCCGGGCAGGAAGAAATTGCAAAGAGCTATAGGAATAAGGAGCTGGAGCAGGCTGCGGTATGAGACCACAGGCAAAGAGGGGAAGCGAATAACCTCTGAACTCCAAGTGCAAGTGAAAGCAGAGCATTAGTTGCATGGGCAGCAAAGCCTGGATGAGTGAAACTCTCTCTGTGGTTGGAAGCTAGAGGTGGAGGACAAAGGTGAAGGCATCACATCTCATCAGTGTTTCTTGATGAGACAGATGTTCCTCAAAGGTACGTTGCTGCCTTTTTGTGTTGTATTTTGTGTTTAGTGGGACTGTGGTGCCAGGGAAGCTGTTTTCAGGTTGGTGGTGCTGGTCAGTGCATCTGGTGATGCCTGTTTCTAATGTGAAATTCTGTGGGTTTGTGTGCACAGCAGTGCTTATCTTGTTCTTGTGGGGTCTAAAGCTTACCAGAATGTGCTGGGGGAGAGAAAGAGACATCATCAATTTATCCTGCTTTTGGTGTTAGGCAGCTTCTTCAGCTTGAGGTCTCTGCTTCAGTGATTTGGCTGTCCCAAGACCATGTTCCTGGGTAGGCTGTGTCTCACTTTTAGATTTATCAGTACTTATTTTCATAAACAAATTGGTTGATTGAGGGTTTTTCTGTGTAAAAGATGTGTCTTTGTGCAGCACATGGACCTTTCTATCCTAAGTAAAAGGGTTTTCGGTGACTGCTTTAACACAGGAAGATAAACCAGAAATCCCATCATACTGCTTTGCCAAAACTGTGTTTATGTTATAAATCTCTACCTAATATTTCCCATTTTCATGAATTGCAGTTGGAGAAGGGCTGTTTGTGCCAGTTAGCTTTATATAGTGCAGTTAAAGCAGACAGCCCCTCCAGCAGCTCTGGTGAGTGCCTCAGAGGCATAGGTGCTAACCGGAGCAGCTGTGGGTGATACCTAAAGCCTAAGCAGTGTGACTGTCCCTCCTTCACCCCAGCTCCCAGTACCCAGTTAATGTTTCTTGAACTTGAGCGATGAGGCTCAGAGTGAAGCTCTGTGTTTTAGCAGGGAGAAGAAAAATTCTTCCCAGCTGCAGCATCCATTTCAATCCCTCTTTGGCAGAGCTCTTTTAATATGATGCTCTTGTCTCCCTGGCAGCGATGGATCCCGCTAGCATGGAGGTTTAAGTTGTGTTGTTAAGAGATTTTTGTGACCTTATTTCTGTTGTTTTTATCCCCAGAATTAACGTGTCACTTACCTGGTGATGCTTCACAACAGAACTGGTTTTGCTGTGAATGAAGTTAACCCCAGAAGCAGGTTTCCATAGCCTCCAGGTTTAAGTGTGGGTATTGGAGAGGAGGAGTTTCTTTTTCCCAGCCTGTGCTCAGGGAGTGACTCCAATACCCAGTGGAAATGCTCTGTCAACAGAGAAAGACTAATAAAACAGAAGAAGTTTTCAGGTGTAGCAGGAGTCAGAGCTCTGTCAGCTCTCCAAAGCCCTACCTTGATTAGCCTCTCCCTTCCTGGTCACCTACATAACAACATTTATTCATTTTGTATAATGCTTCAGTGAACCCCCTGAGTCCTCAAGCTAAATACCAGCATATGCGATCTCTGCGTATTAATGTCTCCCTCTGGTTTACATGTCACTAAAATACTGCAGACCTGCTGGGTTGTTGGGTTATATATTTGTGAGAGAATAAATCGGAGAAAATAAACTGTGTGACAGCAGTGTAATGAGGAAGCAGGCAATGATCAGCCTAATGGGAGGGTCAGAGACATAGCCCAATAAATAAGGGAAAGATGGAAGTGTCCCCATCAGCTAATATGTGCACGTACTGTTATCTGTTTACCAGCTGAGCCCCTGCACAGCTGTAGGGAATCAGGGGGACTGTGTGCTATTGCTAGCTCTGCCAAGGGTGAGAGTAATCAGTCTGAGCTCCCAGTGCTGCGCTGCTCTGGTACTCAGGCCCCTGACTTTTATCCCTCTCTCATTTATCCTTGCTAGAAAAGCAGGGAAACTGGTGCTTGAGAGGAAAGATGAGTTCCTTGCCTGGTTTTGTCTGTGCTTGTTACCTAGGGACCAAGATTCCCACTTCCTCTTAAAACTGTGTTTAGTAGGGACCTTGGTTTCTAAAGTTAAAATTCCCCATGTATCTTTTGCCTCTTAAGGTACAGAGAATTCTTACTGTGGTTGAGCTGGTTAGTGCCTAGCTTGGGTTCGATCCTTTTACTGATGAAGCTGCTTGGCTGTCTTCTTCATTATAGGGGGATAAAAGTTAAGTGGTGGTGTGTTGAATGTTTTGATTTTTAAGGTCCTTTTCCCCAGTGCTTCAGATCCTCATCTGCAGATGCAGCATTAGTTACCGTCTTTCTGTGATACCTTAAGGAGCTGATGTACTTGTACTTGGTATCTGTATGTAAAACTAGGAAGATGTAGCAAAATAAAAACATCGTTTCTCTGCCTTTTAGATGCATTACTTAAGGTAGGTCTTCATTAACTCTCATCATCCCAGTGGTGGTCCTTTACTCCAGCTTGAGAGTGCATTCATCCTTGTTAAATGTGGGAGATAATTTCAAATACAGGTTTTCAGGTAAGGGCTGGCACAGCAGTAGTCTGCATTAAGTGGATAGGTGCATTAACAGGCTTTGCATAGAACCTGAAGTTTCATGTGGTGAGTGGAATGCTGGTAGAAGGATGTGGGGGTTTTGTCGTGGGTTTCCTTTTGTTTGTTTTGTTTCACTATTTTCTGAGAAACAAAGTCCATGTGAAGCTTTCTTCCTGTAAGTTGGCTGTGTATGGTACCTGTGTGGATTTAGTCTTAACACAGATTTATCTATGGGGACATGCAATATGGACCATCTTCTGCTTTCTAAAGAGACAGACGTATTGACCTACAGCTAGAAATGCTCTTAAAATTGTCTTCTAAATTTCCGTTTCTCTTGGCTTTATTATGATAAAAGCCTGAGAACTTCCAGTTGTTGATTTCATAATTGCTGACTTAAGCATCTTTTTAAAGGGTTTAAAGCAACTAAATGGAAGTTGGAAATTTCAGGCAAAAATATTTTCATCTCTTTGCCATAAAACAGTAAACAGCAGTTAGTGTTTGTGGACACTGTCAAAATGAGCAGTACTGACTGTGCCACAAACTGAAGTTCTTTGCTTGGAGTCACCTACCTTGAGATGACATTGTGGGATGTTTTTTCTGTCCCCTGTTGACTTGCACATAAACACTTTCAGCCGTTTGTGTACAATTGGAAGAGTAATGAATTAGAAATGTCAATTCACTTCCACAATTGTTAAGGTTTAATGATAACCGTTATTGCTGTGATATTCTTATTGAAAAGACTAAGAAATGTGAATGGTTTCATTTTGCATTCTCTGAGTACGTTTATGAGATGTGTGATAGCAGAGAAAATTACAGTAGATAGTTTACCAATTTGCTTATTTCTCTTTTTAGATGTTCTCATTTTTCTTGTAATATTATCTGGTATCTCCTACCATTATTGAGTCCTTTATATGTGCATGCATACACACAAAAGTGAGTAGGTAATGCATGACCCCAAGATCTGACAGCAAAAGACAACAAAAGAAGCAAAGAGACCATGATCACCAACTCACGGGTAGGAAACTAATGTTCAGTGAGATTAACTCAGTTGATGTAACAGTTTCTAAAAGTGGTGTACTCCCAGCATATACCAGCATAATTTCTGTACTTTGTCATATGGGGTTTTGTATCTATGCTTGAATTTTATAGCATCTTAATGTGAATTGTTCCTAAGAGGAGTGTAATTGCAGCATCTAGCTATGATGATAATGGACATTACAGAATTACCTCAGTGGAAAAGCAGATCCTACATATTGTGATGACATCATCTGAAGGTTGAATAAATGAGAGAATCTCCTTGTTAAGTGGGGTGGGATGTGTTAGAGATGAGGTAGGGTTAAAAATGGAAATTTTATGGAAATAAGATCAATGAGGTGGCAAGTGATGCAGGGCGTACCCCATGGGTCACTAACAGAGAGCAAATTTCCCTTCCTCTTGCATTCAAGTGAGAGCTCTTTGCAGTCAGACTGCTGCCCAGCATTTTTGCTGCTTCTGTTTGTCCCATTCGGATGTCAGTGTCTAATTAACTTGATGATACAAGGTAATCTACCCTGGCCAAGGAGCATGTAGCACAAAATAAATCAGGAAGGACAGATACTGATGGTGTCCTTTGTATGCTTTCAGTCCCAGGATGACTGCAGGTGCTCTGAGCTGCCACACTTCCTTGCTTGGGGAACTTGTTTGGCATAGAGCATCCTTCAGGCTTTCAAATTTATGTAAAGAGACCATTATCACGTTGAAGGATACGTAAGATTAAAACCTTCAATGGATGCCACCAGATTAATGGTAACATTAATCTTCACGATGCAAATGAGAAGGTGAGACACAAAAATGACCTGTGGAGGAGGAATGAGCACAGTGATTTAATTTTATTTATTTATTTAGAGCCTGTGTCTGAGCTTTAACTGTGTTATTGCTCTTCTCCATGAAGAGCACATACGAGAAGTCTTGTGAAACCATTTACCTCCATATCGTGTACTTAACCCCCAACTGGAGTACCATGCAGCAGAAAGGTAGAACATTTTTAAACCACTAAAAAGATTTTGTTGAAGTATATAAAGCTCTTGAAAACAAATCTGTTATACAGGAGTAAAAGCTATTAAATCAATGCTGTTTCCTCTATTTAGTAATTTCTAAATACTTTGTGCTGATACAGAGAGAAACATGGTTTTAAAAGCCAACAGATTCATTAACATGGTGTGACAACCCAAAATACCTGTATATTACAGAAAGATCATCAACAGATCGATAAACCTGCCTGAAATAGTTGTCTTGCAGCAGTATTGAATTTTGAGGGTTTTGCACCAGTCAGTATTTTCTGAAGGGATAATTTTCCAGTAAAGGGGAATTGTGTCATAACCAGTTGCTGGGCCACTGCTTTTATGGCTAAGGAAGAAGAAAGATCTGCACTGATTCTATCTCCTAATTAGCAGGGAACTTGATCTGAGTCCAGAGCTTATTCTTAGGAGGCCAGCCAGGCTGTCTGAATGGAGAAATTAGACATCTCAAATGACCTTGGATCTGTAGCATGCGTCTGGTGACCCCAGTCTCCCCTGGCTTCTGCTGTGCCAAAGGAGAGCTGCACCATATGGTGAAGAAGTGCAGTGGAGAAAAGGTGTCAGCTAATGACTAAGAACTACTTTTAATTCTAGCTCTAGACAAAACAGAGGGGAGGGTGCAATCCTCTGTCTTCATTTTTACCCATTCTGCAAGTGGGATCTCTTGTTTCTGTCCTTCAAAAGCATCCAGGGAGGTGGAGGACAGATTAGCACATGCAGCTGCTGGCTGCTTGAGTTCATTAGAAAATGCATGTGCCGTAACCCACAGCGATTTGCCCGTGGAATGGCATCGCTTGAGATGTTGCAGAGTTGATAGAAATCAAAACGATGTTGACTCCAAGTCGGTTTTTAACACTGATACCTAATTTAAATAAATACCAGATGGGACACAGGCAGTTTGTCTAGGCAATTACATGATCCCCACTTGCACAATGCTGTACTGAGGCTTCAGTAAAGATATGCATGGAAGCATCCAACAGCTGGGGTGCTTTCATAGCAGGGAGAAGCAAGGCAATACCAGCCAGAGTGGGAACAGGGAGAGAAAGGTGGTTCACCCCATGCCTGGGATTTTGGTACAGCCTGGAGAAGCTTTTGAATATCTAGGAATAATTAAAATGAATGCAAGAAATATGCATGTAAACTTAGTGCTTGGCTAAAAGTTACATTTAAATGTGAAATTGAAAGTGGTTTTGCAAACACCCCAGGAAGTGGCTGGGAGCTTCTGATGTCTTTATTTTATAGAAGTAGAAACGGAAAAGGGAGTTCAACATAAATTGAGGAAGGACATTTAATTAGTAAAAATTTGACTAGTAACAAATCAGCTCAACTAATGTCTTTTAGACTTCCTACTTGGAGACATCAACTATCACAGAAATTTCATTAAACATGATTACTTTAATTATTTTGTCCTTAGTGAAGAGCGCTAATTAACTTGGCTATGATAAATATGCATCCAAATATCATTCTGAAATCCCTACAGATCCCAATTATTCTTAAAGTCTAAGGTGTAGAACTTGCTGCTACAATCCTTTTTTTAGAGCAAAGATTTTTTTCAGGGGATACCATTGATTTCAAAGGTGAGTAATTTTTTTTCTTCTGAGAAAAGGGAGGCAATTTTTGATCAAAATCTGAGGTGAAATTATGAGGGCTCTGAAAATAACCTTGATGTGTGTATCTTGTTCCTAGCCATGGATTCTGCCTATGAATTGAAGCCAAATGAAAATCTGCAAAGGGGACTGGTTAACTGCTAACCATTGTAGCAGCTTCAAATATGTAATCAGTTTGCATATAAGAATAGCATTAGTTACACTTGAAGGTAAAAAGGACCGATATATGGCAAACCCTCTTAAGCGTACATCAGGCCTTAATTTGGGGCCATTGTCTTGTAATCACAATGGAGTGAAGATGATCCTCCAAAATCATTTTAAAACCCTGCATGCGTGCCCTTTCTGGCAACTTGGAGCTCATGATCTCCCTGACTATTGACTGGATCTGTGACTCTCTTGAGGACTGAGCTGAGAGAGAGGAAAAAGACAGTGCTTTCTCTGAAAAGTTTTTATTTTAAGCATTTCTTTGGTTTTACTGCCTAGAAAACTTTTCCTAGAACAAGCCTTTTTGCATTCACATGAATGGGCTAATGATGCTATTGGGTTATCTGTTCTACAGTTCCTTTTCTTGGCTTCTTGCCAGGTGTAATTATAAAGTAGATTCAATTCCTTGATGGAAGAATGAAGTTAAGGTAAGCTAATTAAAAATGGAGTCACTATAGGTGTCCAAAGGTGCTTCATAGATTTGCTTGGGTTTTTATTATTCAAATCTCCCTGTGTCAGGATATGTTTCTTTCTAATCCTTGACCCTGTCAGCTAATCAAACAAAAGCATGCCTGTCTTCTAATTAACAAAATAATTTCCCTTGTGGATACATATGTTGCTGTAAATCTAAGATAAACATCAGTGCAATTAAAGTGCAGTTCAAGTTTCTGAAATTTACTTTGGAACACCAAAATGCCATAGTATTAAGTGTTTGAGGAACTGTTACTCCATCAAATGATTCATGGTTTTTTTTTCTGTAGTAATAAAAAGGAGCATTTTACACAAATTTTAGTACCAATAATAAAGATAGTGCTTTGGCCACATTGTGGCCAGGAAATACTCTCTGTCCTCAAAATGAGATAATTATAAGCTGAAAAATATAGGATGAGTCTGATTTTTGTCAATGATCTATCACTAGAGCCTCTTAAAGTTGCAATAATACAAGGGCCATGAAAAGCAAAAAGGATGTAAGTGCCTTGACTCTACAACAGTAATGAGTACAACAGTTTGCTGGAGTAGCTGTAAATCAAATGTACTGTAGCTATAAAAAGTCCATAAGACATTTGGATGTGATCCTGGACTGCTTCCACGATATAGAAGCTGTGCATACAAATGAGAAGTCATCCATATTGCATTGCGGGGAGGACTGCATTATTGAAACTGGAAAGATGATAATAGAAAGTTGGTTTTGGAAAACTACTGAAGCTGAGCTTCATTGTATTGGTGCCAGTACAGGGCAATTACATTTGGGACAACGTCAATATCAGTTAAATAGAGGAAATGTAATAAGGAAGGAATGTGTGATCATTAGGAATATAAATTAAGTTCAATTCTGCAGATTAGAGCGCTGTATATTTTAATTTCATTTTAGCCTGATTTCTTCCCCCCAGCCCTCACCATCACCACCACGCATAGCCCCCTCCTCTTCCCCCTTATTTATTTCACTTTATGCTTTATTACTTTTAAGCTTGTTTTTCTTGGTGTGGCTGATGCTTATGACATCTTCTTCCTACATGCTGTGCCTAATAGAATTCTTTAAACAAAGAAATCTCTTGGGGTAGACATTCAAAAATCAACGCACCGTGTATAACATAGGGCTGAAAATGAAGGAAGAGGGACAGGGTGGCTGGAAGCTCATCTTAAAAATTGTCTTAGGAAAAATATTCCTATAGATTAAGGTCATGTCTGGGGAGCTGTAGGACATGCATTCAGTTCTGACCCTGTTTTGTCTTTGTTCTCCACCTCGAAAAGCAAAAACCCTTTCCTCTTCCCTGATTCCTACATGTACCTTCTAAGTCTTTAATAATTTTTAAGTGGGGTCTGGTTTTCACAGTACAGTTCACTTAATCAGCATTCTGATTGCATTTGGAGTCTAGGTGTTAATTCCAGTGTTTGCGTTATTGTGACAGCATTTAGTATTACCCCTTGTTAAGGTAATATTAATGGATTTCCTCAACCGAGCATTACACTGGGTTAAGGCTGGGACTGCATGTGCCCAGTCTTGTCTCAGGTGATCTGTTCCATAGTGGCCGTAGGCTAAATCTAGTGGGAAAAACCTGTAAATAGGAGCATGGTGACTTGGATTCTACCCTTGGGTGTGACCCGGCAGGTTGGCTCCCTGGTGATGTGCCTCAGTGTCTCAGTATGTGGGTGCAGAGCTCTTGTGTGATGTGAGACCAGGATATTTGTGAAGTGTCTTGAGACCTGGAAGAAGATTACTTACAAGCACGATGAATTGGCAGGAGCTGCCTTATCTCCAAGAGGCCAGTTAACTGTCATAGGAGTTCAAGTAAGCTTTTATTTTCTTTTGGTTCTTTAACAAAACCCAAACAAATCCATGAAGAAAAGGAGGCACTAAGCAAAAGGTGGAAGTTTGAATGCAGGTGTCAGGAGTTTGACTTGAATGCTCTATACATCACAAATCCATGTATCACCATGGTACTGAATGGTGAGAGATCACACAGATGTGCAATTCTTGTTTGAGAACTCCAGGAGGACATTGTCACATGTAGCCGTAGAGAGAGAAAATAGGAAAACTTTTGGCTTGGGAATTTTCATCTAGCTTTGTTGTAAATTTATTATGGAGCTTCTTGAATGCCTTATCCAAGAGAATGTCCCCATTGTATTAAACTGCACAAGAACACGTAACCAAGCACTTCTGGACTTTGGAAGTTATTATTTATTTGTTTAATAAAGGAAAGAGAATGTCATAGGAAGAGTGGACAAAGACTAAAATCAGTGTTGAGAAAGTTCTGCAGCAGGTGAGTAGCAGAGATGACGCTATATCCATCGGGTCATACTGCCTCTTTAAGGTTTGGTTGCTGCTTTTGATAGCTGTGGGAATGCATCAGATGGCTGCCCAGGCCTTCTCTGCAGAATGGCCCCATGATGTATTAAGGGATAACCCCCCAGAAGCTATGAGTTTGTGTATTGCTAGTTATTGGTAGTCTTTGACTAGA